GGAACCGTAGAAGAGGACAACCGTAGAGTTCCGATAACCTCTGGCAATTGCTTTAATATAGCCTACATATGATCTATAGGATTTACTTCACATTGATACAAATAAAATGAAATATTTAGCAGACAAATAGAACAACTTACAAAGGTATCATTGGACATCGATTGTGAATTTATCAATATCATGGATTTTTTGCAACATATATATATATATATATATATATATATATATATATATATATATATATATATATATATATATATATATATATATATATATATATATATATATATATATATATATATATATATATATATATATATATATATATTGTTGAAAATATTTTTATTGGATAAATAAATTAAAAGAATTACTTTTAAATATAAAAAAGACAAAAGAAAATAAATAAAATGAATTGAACATAATTTTATAGGAATTATCGGAAAAAAAGGGGGAAACAAAATTCAAAAAAGAGCAAAAAACGTTCGGTTCACTGGGCCGGTTCAAGTTTTTTAAGTTTTTTAAGTTTTTTTTTAATTTTAATATTTTCTTTTTTTATTTCGAGCGCACTGCCGGATCGGTCCGGACCGACGGTTCACGGTTCACCTATTTCAAAAATCGTGCCCGGCCCGAGGGATACGGGCCGGTTCATAGTTCTGGGACCGGTTCACCGGTCAACGGGCCGTTTAAGGGCAATTCTTTTTCGTCTAGTCTTTGTTAATAAATATGAATAAAATTACTAACTATAGTGATATTAACAGGTGTTCACGACGAACATGAATGAATACATATAAAACGAGTACCACAAACTCTGTGGGAAATTTCAATACGTTTGCGACGAGTGCAACATTATTTTTTTTTGCAGACGAGAATATCTATGCTAAACACCATTTTGCAACATCAAGGGGATGCGAAGGACGCATCAATCACCAAACAAATGAAAAAGGCCACTAAAAAGACAGTGAACAACACAAAAAAATAGACCTGAGTTGTGTTGCTTTTTGGAACCAGAGATTCATAATAAGTATTCGGATGTTATTGTTTGATTATCTCGTAAACTTGTTAGATGATATTTCAGATGTTATTGTTTGACTATCTCATAAACTTGTTAGGTAATAATATTTCCGATGTTTTTTGTTTGGCTATCTCGTAAACTTGTTAGATGAGACCGCTTACTAAAACTGAGAAAACGGGGAAATGGGAGAAATAGAGACCTGATAGGTAGCTGCTCTGATGAAATAATTGGAAGGAACCGTAGGAAGAGGACCACCGTAGAGTTCTGAAAACCTCTTGCAATTTCTTTAATATGACCTCCTTTTTCATCATTCACTTCACAACTACACATTAATAAAAATAAAATAAAATAAAATATTTAACAGACAAATATAACAACTTACAAAAATATCATTGGACATTGGAAGGTGATCGATATCATGATGTTTTTGCAACAACAACAAAAAAAAAACCAAAAACTTTCATCACACGGTTCGGCGGGCCGGGTCGGCCCGTCGGTTCACTCCGGTTCCGGCCTATCCGCGACGGTTCTGGATCGGCCCGAAAATATATATATATATATATATATATATATATATATATATATATATATATATATATATATATATTTATATATAAAAAAAAATATATAAATATATTTATTTATTTAAATATATATATATATAAAATATGTATTTGGTATATATATTTTTTTGAAATATATATGTGGGAAATATAAATTTAATAAAAAAAAAAAAAT